TCTCTCTCTCTCTCTCTCTCATGTGCCAGGTACTAACCTGTGAAGATGGCGCTGTGCTGCAGGTACCTCGAAGACGAAGCTGGAGCTATGGCGCTGCAGGTAAGTCTCCCTGCCCTCCGCCGAATCTCTCCCTCTCTCCAGTACTACTCTAGCTCCTACTAGCGCCCAGCGCTGAAGACTACTGCTACCGCTACTACTACTACCGCAGCGCTCCTCCAGAGTGCTGCTGCTGAATCCTGAAGACTACCTCCTGCCTCCTGAACTGCACGTGAAGTGCCTGGGAAGTCCCTATGAACTACCTGCAGCTTGCAGGGCGGGCCAGTCTTATATAGTGCTGGCCCGTCCAGGAGGCTTCTCTTGCCAATGCCGAAACGTGCCAGACCCTGGCGTTGAAACTCAAACAAAGGTTGTCTTGAAAACAGGCCCAAAATGGCCTGTGCTAAAACCCTGGTCTGGTGCCTAAGTTTCAGGGCAGGTGGATCTTATGAGGGCTGAAAAATGGCCCTCCGTTTCAGGCTGAAAAGACTCAGGGCCTGGAGGGCCCTGTTTTAGGCTGAAACGACACAGGTGCAATCAGACTCGTTCTCATTCACACTTTACATGTATGCAAACAGTAGCGCAGCAAACTGGCGACAAGCGCCCACACAGAACTCAGAGATGTGGTCGCCGAAAACACAGTCCAGATACAAGTTCACTTTCGATGGCTATGGCGACTCAGCGCCCAAACAACTCTCTGTTCGCATACGCCGGATCACCCTGGATATCCCACACACGTCTCTCTGAACACTCACACACACACACACTGAGCACTCACTACAGCTATGGCGGCTATGGCCGCAACTACCCTATCGCTATGCTACGCTCCTTCTCTCTCGCCCACTTCCGCTCCGGGCTCACTGCAGACCTCCTTGCACAAGTCGCTGTGGCAGCGCTTCCGCATGGCTCACGCAGGAATGAATGAATGACTGGGCGCTGCCTCTTGATTTATACGTCTGAAGTTCGTTGGTCTGCCCTTTTCCATCGGCCCATGGTGCTCACAGTCCCTCGTGGTACTTGCTGGACTGGACTGGGACTGACTGGACCTTACCGCTGACTGGATGGGAACTCGCTGCTATCCTACCGCTATCGTACTGCGAACGTACTGCAGTTGGTCCACCACTTGCCCACTTGCCCAATTGTTCGACCTTCTAGAAGGACTACAGCTAAGACTTCTGGAACTCACTAAGACTTATATTCTACAGATCTACAGATCGAACCCATGCTACCTACGGACCCTACGACAGTTTACTAACTGTTACAAATACACAGGCCGTGGGTTCAAGCCTTGGGGTCGACACAGATACTATACACCGGTAGGGTAAGGGCTAGGGATCGAGCCCTGGGGTCTGCATCTGCTACTGCAAAAGGTGAAAACCGTTTCACTCCCGCCGTCCTAAATTTGAGGTCCTCCGAGAATATCTTAGTCCAAGGCAGGACCTTTACCCTTCCTATCACGCTCATATGCTCTGACTATGTCGGGAGCTGTTTCTAGAAGTTTTGTTCTAGAAAGCCAGCGGTCGTCCTCCGGTTCCTGATAGGCAAACCAGACCTCATACTGTTTCTGTGGACGACCTGTCCTAAACACATCTTCATCTACAATGCCGTCAATGTCATATCTGCCATCCATATCCGGAGGGATCATGGATCTTCTTGAAGGGAACTGTTGACTTGTGACACACGGCAATAACTTTGAAGCATGGAACACCGGGTAGGTGTGGAGGTGTGCTGGAATTTCTATAGTGTAGGACGGTCCATCCTTTCCGCCCTTGACTTCTAGAACCGGCCACGGTCCCCAATAACTTCTGCGAGATGTTCTCCTCAGGCGCAAACTCTTTAGACTTGACCTAGACCAGGTCGCCTACCTGAAACTGCGATGGGCGACGGTGCTTATTAGCTTGTTCTATCATGCGGTGTTGGGCCTTCCTGAGGTTTTCAACAACAGTTGCTAGCTCTCTCTCGTGCTGTATCACGAACTCCCTGGTCCCGGGCGGTAGCCTATGAATCTGATCCCGGGTAAGTCCCTCAAACGGTCTGCGGGGTCTAAAGGACTTGTGCAACTCGTTGGGAGTGCGACTGGTAGACAAATGCACGCTGTTATTGTATGCGCTGGCTACCTTGGGCAACATCTTGTCCCAATTGACTTGATCCGGTCTAATATACATGCGCAGAACTTGCTGCAGGATCTTGTTCATCTTTTCTGTCTGACCGTTAGTCTCTGGATGACGGCCAGATGACATCAGCAACTTTGATCCATAGACTCTCATGAGTTCCTGCCAGTTCTGACTCGTGAATCTGGTGTCCCTATCACTAACTATAGACAGCGGAACCCCGTGATCACTAATCCAATGATCACAAAACTTTTGAATGACTAACTCCGTACGTGCCAGGCAAAGGAACAAAAACTGCATATTTATTGAACCTATCAACTATGACCATGACTTGGCTCTTGCCGTGCCTACTCTTGACACCGGCATCCATAAAGTCAATGGAGACTGAATCTACAGGTTGGTCTGGGATAGGCAAGGGTCTGAGAAGACCTAGAGGGGAACGCGTAGTGGTCTTGTTCCTCTGGCAAACTTTGCAACTGCGAACATACTCTATGCAGTCAGATTTCATTCCGGGCCAGGTATACGCACGCATTAGATTGGCTAGAGTCTTATGCCAACCGAAGTGTCCCTCTGTGTCATGGCATTCCCCTAGGATTAGGCTACGAATCTCCTCACTATTGGGGATGCACAGGCGGTCCACTACATTAGTCTTCTCGAACAATAGTCCTTCAGTAGTGCGGTAGTCTGGTTCGGTCTCTGGGGCCTCCTTGACTCTCTAGAGGAGGTCACTATAGATAGGGTCCTGCGCATACGCCTGTCGGACTTTCTCTTGCAGGTCCTTCCCTATATCCAGATAGTGTACTATAGCTCCAAAGTAGTCTGATCTCCTACTCAGAGCATCCGCAACTACGTTGTATTTGGCTTTGACTGGTTTGAGCTCAAAGTCATATTGGTCTATTTCAATGGCCCACCTAGTCAACTTAGGTGTCATTTTGGCCTGGGTCTTTAACCACCTAAGAGTTTCATGGTCTGAGTATACTTTGAAGTGCCTCCCAAGCAGGTAATGCGTCCAGTGCTCTAAGGTTTGCCTGAGAGCGTAGAGTTCTCTCTCGTATGTCGAGGTGGCTACCTTTTCTGAGGGCATCCTCGCTGACATGAGCTCTATGTGTCTATAGCCATTGTCGTTGTCTTGCTGCAACACGACGCCTATACCATACTGACTTGCGTCCGTGGTGACGACAAATGGCAAGGACGGGTCTGCGACCTTGAGGACAGGGTATTCTATTAATGCGCGCTTCAGTCCCTTTAGCGCAGACGTACAGTCTTTGTCCCATTGCCAAAATGCCTCTTTCTTAAGCAACCTGCGCAAGGGAGCGGCAATAGTAGAGAAGTTCCTCACGAACTTTCTATAGTAGTTAGCTAGGCCTAAGAACGACCGCAACTTTGTCAATGTGCGGGGCGTCGGCCAGTCTCTAATTGCCGCTATCTTGTTGTCCTCTGGCTTAATGCCATCTCCGTCTAACACGTGGCCCAAGTACAGGACTTGTGTCTTGGCCCACTCGGACTTCTTCGCGTTAATCTTGAAGTTAGTTTCTCTCAGCTTCTCCAAGACTTGCCGCAAATGACCCTGATGCTCCTGGAGGGTCCTACTGAAAACTAGGATATCGTCTAAGTAAACTACGACGAACCTATCCAACCAAGGTCTAAACAGATCCTTCATACAACACTGAAATGTAGCTGGCGCGTTGGTTAGTCCAAAGGGCATCACTATGAATTCATAATGCCCATATCTAGTCCGGAACGCAGTCTTGTACTGGTCGTCAGGGTGAACTTTTATTTGATGGTAACCGGACTTTAAATCTATCTTAGAGAAATACCTGCAACCCTGCACCCGATCCAAAAGATCATCTATCCTGGGCAGCGACTCAACATTCTTCACTGTGATGGCATTCAAACCCCTATAGTGTATGCACATACGCAACTCTCCCTCTTTCTTGGGGACAAACAGAACAGCTGCTCCAAAAGGAGATGAACTGGGTCTGATCCAACCTTTCTCCAGGAGCTCGTCCAACTGCTTACGTAGCTCTTTTAACTCTCTAGGGAACATCCTATAGATTGTTCCCTTAGGAGTTCTACTGCCAGGCTCTATCTCTATTCTGCGCTGGATTGGTCGCGGCACTACTCCTGTCGGCGACTCAGTCAAATCTTTGAACTCCTCCAGCAGCTTGGCAATGGTTGGATCCGTGGAACTATCTCCTTCCTTAGGCTCAGTGATAGGTCTAACATATACTACAAAGACCTGGTCCTCTAAGTGCTCCTTTTTCACTAGTCGCGCGAATGCGGGAGCATTGAGACAGCAGTGTGCCATAGTGTTATCTGCACCTGACACATGAAACAGGCGAGCAGTCTTAACCTCGCCTGACGGACTAGGGAGCCTACACTCATGCTTTCTCAAGTGGAGTGTGATCCCTGCTGCCTCTCCCCAATCCATTTCTAACACTATGTTGAAAGGGAGGTCATCCTGAACGAGGAGAGTCAGGAAATGGAGAACTTTTTCCACCTTCCCATCCTTTTCTAGGCGAAAGTACGCCTGGACTCCCTCTACGTAGTCCTCAACACGCATAGTGCGGTTATCTATGAGCCTCAATTTCTTCAGCGCTCTGCGGCTAATATAACTACGGGTAGCCCCTGAATCTATAAGGGCCCCTACTCTACTCCTGAATACTTTTACATCAACTAAGATTAGTTGTCCCTTACTCTCCTTCTTCATTTTGGCCTAGGCTGGCATCCTCTCCTTCAATTCCTCTGCCACGCCTATGAGGGACGTGCCTAGAGAGACGCTAACACAAGCAGTCTCTGGACAGTTAGCTAGGCACGGGCCTGCAACCTCTGTCATAGGCTCATGTGGTTTGGGAGTTTCCTGTATGCGCGCACTCGCTTCCCCACATGGCCTTGAAGTAGGGGCAGTTGCGACCCCTATTGGCGGCTGGCTTTTGACTATTGAGCAGCCCATCGGGCCTATCTATACTTAGGACAAAATTTAATCACATGGGTCGGGTCACCACAAAACACGCACTGACCCAAGTCCACGCGTTCCTGCCATACGCGCTGGTCCAAGCCCAAATCCTCCCATGGCCTGCCCTGCGGCAAGCCTGGGTGTCATCCTCCTTGAGGTGGCCCGACAAGAACCCTGGCGATTTGGCGGGGGACCTTGATCCCTACCTCCCACTTGGCAGTTCCCTTGCCTGCCAACCCCCTGTGCGCCCGGTCCTCGGCCTCCCGTGGCCTGGCCCCTTTGGCCCTGGCCTCCTCCTCTACCTTGCGGCCTCCCTCCAGTCGCGACAGCCGCATAGGTCCTCCCTTGCCCTACACTGTTGTCCTCTTCCTCTAGCCCCCACGCAATCTCACTGTAGGGGACTTCATCGGTACCACCCTCTTCTAACGTGAGGATCATGTGATCCTTGGCCCTGACTTGGCCAGAGATGGTACGCCCTTGCCACTTTTTCCCCTTATCCAGGTCCTTATGCCAGAAAGTGGATACTGGCATGGACTTCGACTCAAACAGGACCACCTCTCTACTTAGCACATCATAGGTGATGTCGGCCTGTTGAGATTTGTTAAAGAAATGCCCATGCAGGGGCTCGGGCATGGCACGAAAGAACAATTGGACCAGTTGGGTCTCAGTGACCCCATGGTCTGGGACGACTACCAAGTCGTCCATGACCCCCTTGAGTGCTCTTGCACTCCTCCACTGTCATGAGTTGATAGTTTGTAACTTGTCAGAGGCTCTAACGCCTCTCGATGGATCAGCAAATCTCTCCCTCGGGAGTTTGAAGAATTGAGGAAGGGGGGTGATCTTAGAGTATGCAACCAGGTTGTTCTCACAACCGGCTGTGCGCGCAAGGGATCTAGCAAAGCTAGCCGCTTCGTCCTTGAGGGCCTGGAAGGCGACGAGGACTTGCTCCTCAGTCAAGATGTGTTGTAAGTATATATAGCTATTGACGCTTGTCTCCCAGTTATCGAAATTTTCCTCCTTCTTCCCGCCGTATGCATCTGGGAATTTCAATTTGACGGGCTCTTTACGAGGTCTGGCCTCACTATCGACAGTGGCTACTGCTTTGGCATTCTCAATAGCGCCCTCATAGAACTTTCCCACGTTGTCTGTCAACCGTCTAACTTCGCCCCCAACGTGGGTGACCACATCGATCTCAAAATCCCGAAATCCTGACGGCATGGCCTTCAGGGCCACATCGTGACCCCAATTGGCTTAGCGCTTCTCCATCCAAGCCGCACTCAACACTTCCAAGTATCCCAACATCTTATCCATTTTGGCAGACATGTCGGTCTGCACCTGCACTTATTGTCTACAGTCCCTCACTTTTGCCACCTCTGTGGTCAACCTATTAACTTCCTCTCTCCTCCTCTTCTTTTCTCTCTTCATCCTCAGTTTCCACTCCAACTTCTTCTCCTCCTCTACTTCTTGCCTTTCCAGGGGGTCCTCGATTGCTCCTAGCTCACTGGCTAACGCATCCCTCTCGTCCTGGGGCACATAAAACTCTGCCTCCTCATCTTCCCCCAACGATAAATTAGCAATCCACTCACTGATCTTTTTCTCCATTGCTGCATCCTCATTTGCCGTGCCACTACTTTCCCCTTTTATTTCCCTGCGTTTTCTTTCCTCCTCTGCTTCTGCTGCTGCTTCTTCTTCGGCAGCCTTTTTCTTATCCTCCATCTCTTCCTCCAACTTCTTCATCTTTGTCGCCTGCTCCTCTGCGATCGCTTTCAGTTTCACCTGCTTCAGGAGCTTTTTTCTCTCCTTATTCTCTTTCAATAAGGCGGCCATCTTCTCTTGTTGCTCCTGGGTGTAGGGGCTAGTGCTCTTCCCACTACGGGTGTCAACCATGGTGATAAGTGCACAACCGGATTAGCGGTTCAAAACCTCACCACTTAGACTCTAACCCCTGACTGACAAACCTACTGACTCAATCTAAAGACTCACAGAATCCGGACAGGGATCCTGCGAACTAGGGTCTCTAGCCTAAACCTATACTATGGCTGTCACTACTAGACCTGTTGCTGATCAGGAGGCATTTAAGGAGATCCCCCGTAACTCCTCAGGAATTATTTAACGTCGCAAACAGGACGACGCGATCAGCAGGTCTCTCAACACTTAGACTGCCTATTGCGCAACCCACAACTCAGCCTTTTGGGCCTACCGTGCCACACCGAGCAGCCCACCGGTCTGTACCGGTCCTTGGGAGGGTTAGGCCTCCAGGACAGTCGAGTCGTCAGACACAGTCTTTAGCCCTAATTGGTCCGGCACGGGTTTGGTCAACAAGGCCTATCCTTCATCCACAGAGTACTATCAACTAGACAAAAGAGACTCGATGCAGAAAGAATAGACAGATAGACTGGACTCAGCAAGTACCACAGGGTGTGTGCACATCCATAGGGCGAGGGATAGGTTGAAGGCTTGGCGAGATTATACCGGCTCCAGTTTGGTCAACTCGTGGTCAACGGTCTTGGTCAACGCCTTGGACAACTCTCGGTCAACACTGTAGTCAACCCCCGGTCAACCCCCGATCAACTCCGGTCAACTCCCGGTCAACGCCGGTCAACGCCGGTCAACCCTGGTCAACGCCTCCGGTCAACTCCCCGGCTATGGCAGTCGGCTTCACCTTTGTCGCCACCCTTCACCTTCCTTCTCTTC